ATTTAAGTAAAATAACTTTTAATTTATTTTTCATAATATTTGCTAATAATGTTTAAAATATTTTCAGCGTCTTTACGAAAGGCCGATGAGAAAGCCAAACTGGCAATCTACACGTCAGACATGGATACCGACAAAGAAGCGAGATGTTACAGAAAAATTAGAGCGAAAAAATTTGTATCCTCGTCTGAAAGCGAAGAAGAACCATGCACAGACGTAATTTTACCATTTGCTCCATGTCCTCCAAAACGTAAGTACACAAACAAATATATTGAGTTTATGATATACGAAATACAAAATTCTAATATTTTCTATTTTTTAAATTCATGCATTAAAAGGTCCCCGACTGTATGGTACAAATGAAAGTTCATACATTACATGTTCTGGGGATTCTGCGATAAGAAACGGCGAATCACAAGAGATGCGAAATTCAAGTTCCCGATCATTTTTGCAAGGTAATATTAATTTATTGATATTAATATTGAAAAATAGAAATATATAAATATAATATTTCCAATATTATTCTCAAATTTTGCATGTCTTATCCTAAGCTTTATTTCAAGTACAAAGTACTATATTTATTATATATTTCATACGTAGATCTGGACAATCATAATATTTCATACGCAAGAAATGAAGAAGCGCACAACAGTGCTGTATACCCAAAAGAGAAAAATAGAGAAAACATATCAAATCGGCATGTGGATAACATGGAGGAAATCGGCCGAAGCTATACACAAGACAAAGAGAGACGTACAGAGAAAAAAGATGATAATCATCAATCTTCACAAGATGCAATTGGTAAGTAAATATTCATCAAATATCATATACACACGTAATACATACTGTGTTAATAATATATCTTTGCTAAAAAAATTATTAATTTTTAATAATTTTATTCTAAAACATACATAAGTTTTACAACTGTAACTTACAATTAGTATTTCTGAAACTTTTACTTATACCTAAAAACATTTTCTATATTTGAAAATAATAATGGATACCAAATCTTTCAGTTATTTCTCAAATTTTCAACATTAAAAATGTAGAACTCATCTCATTACTACTTTCATAATTATTATAAAAATATTATTATTATATGTTATAATACTTTTTAATAATATTATATATCCATAACTTAT